CAATTCTCACCCGAAATAAGGGAGAAGGTCTAATGGACTGCAAAAACCTGAACGTCGTATTAAAACCTAAAGGCTTCAGTACAACGGGATTTAGCCATCGTCTTCTGATGAGATCGGCCTTCGAATTTCTTCTTCATGCATTTTCATACGAAATGAACGTCTCTCCAACATTTTTATTTTTCTCAACCAACCGCACACTATCGATGCTGGAGCTGATTAGCTCCTTGAATTACTGTATAAATTATTTTCACTTGAGATCAAGCAAAATAACATTATTCGATTATACATAGAGTACCAACAGTGCCGATTCATTCCATTCAGTTTAAATCTTCCAAATTGTATCATTCCTTTGTTTTTAGTTGTAAAATTGTAAATACCTTTCCTTCTGATCGAGGATATGAAGACCAAGATAGTGCAGCCTTTTGTGTGGTCACAGTCTCCTTTCGTTGTATATAAGTTCATAAGATATGAAGACCAAGATGGTGTGGCCTTTTGTGTGGTCGCAGTCTCCTTTCGTTGTATAGAAGTTGTCTGACCTTGTTTTCGCAACTTGGTCATATTGGTAGGAAGACTTAGAGGAACGCACCTAGTCCGGAGTCCATCGTATGCATGATAATTTGCAGTTGGATCGTGGACGTGTTACTTTACCAGACGTTTCGCCGGCATCGTCAGTGAGTCTTGCCATTCTTAGCACCACATTACAACTCATCAAAGAGACAAGTGAAGCTGATTTTTTGACCAATTGTCTGCTAAACAATGGTGGTATCTCTCCTTCCGACCTGGGCTAATCACCAATCCTCTATCCTTGCATCATTATCACAATTTTTAATTGATTATTTATATGTGGTATGATGTGCCTTTTTGAGCAGCTTTCATGAGAACTCTACACTCCACACTGGCTTTCTAAACCCCCTCCACTCTTCTTCATCCTTGTGCTGGGAATGTTGATCAGAGTTTGCCATATTGTTACGTCGTCCTCCTTCCATAGGTCTTATCAGTCTTCCTCTTGCCCCGTAGGATCAGTCTGCTAGCTCCCTGGTTCATGTATATCACTCGATACCTGCCACTCATCTGTGCTACTCAAGGCATTATTTCTATACTCTGCTTCTGGGAGAGTAACTCGAGGCTAAAGCCACTGAGTAATTCTCATGGTCAAGCCATTTCTTCATGGACCACGTCTATCTTTCTCCAGTTATCTTGATTTAAACTAAGTATTTCTTATTCAACTTTACATTAAAAACTTCTTTATTAATCTATTAAATATTTGAATTAAATAATTTACTTTTTTGATCGTTAGCTCTTTGTATTTATCAATAGAGTTCACCGTTTCTCTTGATATACTATTTAGATTTTATCAACATTTTCTTCATCAATATCATGTCCGTCTTCTTAATTAGTGTGAATACAATTAGTGTCATGTTGGCACTAATTTTATTTGGATGGGCTACCCACTAAGTCACTTTTTCAGTGGATTATATTTTAGCTACTTATCTTGCCTAAGATTTGCCATATTTATTTTGTTTTGTTCCCCAATCATTAATTTCTCATAATTTGATTTTCTCGTTGCCCTGCATTTCAGATTTTGAATTAAGCCAGCCGTCCCCTATGGATATTAGTCAGAGCCCAGATAGGTATACTGACTCACCCATGCCATACTTCAGTGGACAGCTTGACTCCTCGCCTTCTGACCACTATTCCTCCATCGATTTTGACGAGATCACCACTGACTGCTTCTCAGACAGCGACACACACTCTCAACCAACTGGTCATCCAGAGACGTTGCTAGATGGCAAAATTGGTGGCAATAGAGAAGCAGTTTCACTACCAAATTTTCATGACAAACAGGCACGAATTGACTCGGCCAGCGGTAGTCGTAAAAGTGAGGCAAGTAACGGGGGCAACTCAGTTTTTGGAGGAGAAAAGCAAGAGACTTCTGCTCGAGTTAAGGTATTTGAGGCATCCACTACGAAGCAGGCCAGGAAGAAGAATAAGAAGAAGAACAAGAAAAAGAGGGATAGAGGATTTGATGTGCACTCAAAACGGTTCACTTATCCTGGGAAAGATGAGGTCGGGGATGAAAATCCCTCGCATCCGGGTGTCATTGCTGATGTTGACGCCGATAATAACGACGGATTTCGGGATATTAGCGGTTTTGGGTCGTGGATACATGATGACCTAATGCAATCCGATGACGATTTTAATGATGATTATGATGATTATGATGATTACGATGATTATGATGATTACGATACCTACAGCGATCCTGACTACGAAGATCTTGTGGAATTCGACGAATTTTACCATGGTCTTGAACTAGGAAGCATTGCTGATGACGGATTGTTCGTAACTGATCCTCTTTCTTTCCTTCATACATCTAATTTGGATGATTTCTGTTCAGATAACCCCATACGAGACGAACGGTTAATACGTGTTGACATGCCCAAGTCGGGAGTTATTACTTTTGGCAAGGAGTGTAAGTAATCCTAGGGAATTAACAGTTTTTCTATTGTCTCTTATTCATCTAATATGGTAGCTTGTATTGTTTGAAAATTTTTATTCGCCAAATAATGTAGTGTTGTTAGATCACGTTGATTATATAACATTATATTTTATTCGAATGTATAAATTTTCTTGTATTTAGATGCAAAATTTTTCATGGCGATACCTAATCACTTGGAAGGAAATCTTACATTTTCAGTATTTTCCTCTGAGTAATTTTGATAGCTGAAATGCCTTAACTCCCTTTTGATGAGTTATCCCTATGGATTTGTACAAACATCGAGAGGAGGTATAAAGATGCATACATTCTATTTCGTTTAAGATGATAAGGGTATGGTAGTTAAAGTTTTTCCATAATACTTTGATTACTTAAGTTTCCGTTTTATTTCACATATCCCTGCTTCCAAAAAGTTATCATCCAGAGTTGGCTGCAGTTTCGACCTCGCCTAGGTCCCATCAGCACTCCTAGAGGGGCTCAAACCCAAAGAATAGGATATGGGAAAAGTCTTGATCCTCCTTGAAAATCACATTCGCCCTGTAACCTAAGGTCACTCATGGCGTAGATGTAAACGTGTCTAGATTAAACGCGGCGCTACCACAACTCTGGTTCGAATCTCGGGAGTGTTGGTGAGACCTAGGAGAGGTCGAACTTGCTATCCGTCCTGGATGAAAATATTCTTTGAGAAGCAAGGCTACGTAAAATTCGATTAAAACATATGGTATACTCTTATCATTGTGGGTAAAATTTAATCCCCAGTCCTTCCTCACATTAATTGAAATATGTTGAATATATTTCATATATATGATCTATGTTAGTCTTAGCAACCTACATATAAACTAACAAAAGGAAGATATGAAGACCAAGATGTCGTGGCCTCTGTTACGATCGCAGTCTCCTTTCGATTTATAGAAGGGGGTTGACCTCGTTTTCGCAACTTGGTTTC